TATGTGAGCGAAATTGTTCTTTCATACTTTAATATCATCTGCAGGTGTTCAGCGTTTTCTAACTTTTGAGTATTTGCAGACAGTATTCTATAACAGATGCTCACTCTAAAGAACGGTCTCGTAATTTGTGAATACTCGAACGTTCGACGTCTCAATGTCATAGTTAACCATAGCCACCTCCGTATTAAATTTATTAGGTTTACTTTGACATTGGGACGTTGAACACCTCATCCCACCGATACCATGGATGTTATAAAGTGCTCTATAAGTCAGAAATATAAAATAAGTTACGATACTTAAGGCTTACTTGGCGAGTGCTCCACGCCGTACATTTTTTTCCTTCCCTCTAAACCTCGACTGTTTGGTCTCCCCTGCCATAGGCTTTCATCTAGCAAAGTTTTTCTAATAATATATGTTTATAATATAAATATAAGGTTAACGCCTTAATAAACATTGTAAAAAGTTTAAAAATTATTTTTATATATTATAAAATTATATTTATTTAATTAAAAAGCCCAAAAACATCTGTTTTTCTCCTTCTTTTTGGGATGTATTATTAAAATACACCAAGTTTCTTTACTTTTGAGAGAACCTTTGTCAACCTCGCCTTTTGGTAGTTGATTATGTACAAGGTCAAAGGATTCGTAAGTAAAGTAGTTGCTCTTACTAAAATGCATTTATACTTCATACCAATATAAAATCCTTAAATTATTCAAAATTTAAGTTTCAAAACTGCAGAGTCGGTGTAAAAATGTGCTAAAAGGATCATTGGCTATCTCAATTTGATTAAAACTCATTAATCATCAATTATAAATGCAAAGCAGCCAGCCTTTTGGTATATTCAGTTATTATTTTGGATAGAGTACACAGGTATTAAGTAACCTGCCCTGTCCCTTTCTACCTTTGAACAACAATACAAATAGGGGCTCCGTTGTCAGTAATGCTTAAGAAAAGGAGTATAACAATTTTCCTGGGATCTGTTTTACCATGATCTTATACTGTGACTGTCTTCGAGGTATGAAAGGTCTTCTAAAGAGTTATACCGGTACGCTTTAACGTCTCTATCTACATGTTTATCAACTAAATTGTCGGTAACAATCCAGGCACACAGAAGAGAGGCCTGGGAGTGTTGCATCTGGAAAGCCGAAGAACAAGAGACGTCGCTCTATAAATTGGGCCGACAGTTAACCATGACCTGACGCCCTGTCAGCCCACCGATCAACAACGCAATCGAACGTTGTTATTAGGTTGAATGTAGAGCGGATAACCTAGTTCGTAGTTTCGAAGTAGTTTCGAAGAGCATTTAATAACAAACCCAGCAAATACGGAGTTCATGGAGCTACAGCTTGAAAATAGAGCCACTTACAGGAATTCCTGTCTTCGCCCGTGCTACTGCTTGCAGGAGTATAGTTCATCTCTTTTGCTGAACTATGGAGGACAGGACCTACAAGGGAGTGTAAGTCATTAATATACACCAAAAATAGGAAATGGCCAAGAATTGAGCCCTGAGGGACACCCATCTGTAGGGGCCATCCGGTAGAAATTTTACCATTGATAACAACTTTCTGCACTCTATTACTTAAATAAGAAATAAATAGTTTAAGCGCTGTGTTCTTGACACCATAGTACTGCAGCTTCCTGATTTATGTCTCATGGTGAACACGGTAGAAGGCCTTAGAAAGGTCACAAAATATACCCAAAGCATTCTCTGAATACCCCCATGCACAAGAAATATGTTTTATAAGCTCAACTCCGGCATCGGTTATCGAGCGACCCGTTGTAAAACCATATTGACTTATATGGAGCAATTTTTTTTAAACTTATCATAAATTTGGTAGTACAGAAATTGGTCTAAAATTGGCGGGGTCTGATGTACTAGCAGCTTTTAATAAAGGTATAACTTTACTATGTTTCATTAAATAAGGAAACACACCAGTTTCGACGCTTGTATTAAAAATGGTGGCTAGATAAGGTGCTATTTTATCTATTACAAATGTAATAACATTATTGGAAATGCCCCATAAATCTGCCGTTTTCTTAACATCAATAGTTTTAAAATATTTAATGATATCCTTTGGCAGTACTCTACGGAAATCAAAAATATTTGGACAAGCCTTTACATTTTGTTTTAGCAATGATTCGGTGATAGTAGGAGAAGAATTTAGTGATTTTTGTTGTCAAAAAAAGAACACCAGTAAAATGTTTCTCAAAAGCCATAGCAACTTCTTGATCAGATTAAGTCAAATTATTGTTAATATTCAGTTGAATATCAGAGTTGCGTGATTTAACCTTGCCCGTTTCACTGTTAATTGTACAGCCGCCATAAGGAAAAAGGACGTTTCTACATAAAGTACGAAACAGACAAAAAAATGTTTTTAAAAAACAAAAAAAAATACGCTGTGCGAAATAAAATAAACCAAATAATAATTTTGTGGTGTAAAAGTTTGTATTAGTGTTTGATCTATTAGCGATTGTATGTAAATTTTAATTAAATAAATTTTATGTATTCAATATATAACTTTTTCTTTTTCTTTTTAGTAAAAAAAAATGCAAGAAAATACTTGATACGGCAATGAAAAGACGCTTCTGGCTAGAAACGTCCTTTCAACTTAGTATTTTTTAAACGTCTTTCCTACTTAGTGGTAATGTGTTACCAGGTTCTAGTTAACTAAATAAAAAGACGTTAATAGCCATTTCCTGCTTTTCAACTTAGTAATACTAATATTCAATTAACTAAAAAATAATAATACCATGCACATTGTTAGATCACCGACAACCCTAAACCCTATTTAAACTGAGGTACGTTTTAACATGATAATTATCATGTATTAAATAAAACACAAAGTATGAGTGATTCTCATTATATATAGGCTTATATTTTTTAAAGAATATAAAAATAGCAATTACAAACCTCTGATAAAATAAAGTTAAACTCTAAACTCGCGTTAAACTCTTCTATTAGAAACACAAATTATGTATCAAAACAATCTAAGTTTGTATTTATAATTAATTATAATAATCACAGATTTTTAAGGAATCTCTTATATTGAAGTCTTAATCTTATACTTGAGTGAGATCAAACTAACACTACGACTTAAGTGTTTTTCATAAAATAAAAAAAAAAAACAATAATAGCAATAACAAACCTCTCTGAACTTATAATAGCTACTCTAAGTTACTCTTCTAAAAATAAATATTAAAAAAAACTATCTAAGTTTGTACAAATTATACTTAATATTAGCAATAATCACAGCTTTATAACTCTTGTAAATTTAGTCTTCATCAACTTGAGTCAGATCAACACTATTTTTATCAGTAGGTAGATTATACCAAAACGATTTTCTGTTGTCTGGCATTAAGGGTGTCAGTTTTTGTATGATCGCTGTCTTGCGCTCTTGAGTAATGCCTCTATACTGAATTTTTTGGTTTTAGAGGTAGTATCCCAGATTTTATATTTTTTAATCTCAGAAAGTCAAGTGAGTATTCTTCTTCATTGTGGAAAGCAGTCTTATAATAAATGATGTGGGTGCCTCTAAGTACTTCACACATATCACATAAATAAGCACGAGGGGAAGAATTTTGTAGTTTGTAAGTTGAATAACAGTCTTCAAACTGACAAAAGTCATCCATATTCATTACTTTAACGATATTATTTGTTCTGGTGTTCGATACTGCTTAATGAAAGTCTTCGAAATCATAAATGTGTTTCTTCCTCTTGATATTGCTCCACATGATGATGGAATTCGTCTGCTGCCATGTGCGTGTGGCCTACCTCTAAATATTTTAATGTAATCGTTTACGACTGAATTAACAAGATGGAGCAAATAAGAATTTTTATTCAACATTCATTTTTAACGAACTCCAATTTTTATTCTGGGCTGCACAGTTATCTAACCAGATGACTAAATTTTTCAGGTCTCTATTTGCCTGCAAAAAAGCTCTGAAACAGCTTATTATGTCACTCATTTTGCGAACAGCAATTGCTTCATGCCATATCGCAGCATAGGTTTGCAAAGTAGCATTGCTTTTTTTGTCACCTATTGGCACAAAACTTTCATTGAATACGATTACTCTTGGGCAAAACATTAAAATTTTAAATTCTTTAATGCGTGGGAGCAAAATTACTTTCTCTCAATCAGCTGCAAAATAGGCAGTATCTGAGGTGATGTTTGCGTTATTTTGTTTTTCTACATCTTTTTTGTATGCTTCCCTGGCTGATGTATATTTTTCCCGGTATCGTTCGTAATCTCGGCATTCTTGACAATTTCTGTATCTTTTGTCCTTGTTGTATTCCGGATTGTGGATAAAAAAAATTTCACACGCCTCCCACTCTTCATGTCCAAGTTTTGTAAAATATATACTTAACTTCTTCACTACTTTTCTGTAGTAGTCATAAGAAATTTGTTCGTGAACAGGAAGGTCTTTTATGTTTTGTTGTTCGTAAAATTCTCGACTCGATACATTCTGGTCACTGTTAGGTCAGACGGAAGATATTTTCTATTTGGAGCATGCTCTCGTCTGTAGTGAGAAATTGAAGGATTAAAAAAATTTATATGTTCTACAATTTTAGTGTCGTCCAACTTTTTATATAAGGCGTTTCTTACAGATTTATCATTTTTTCGACTTTAACCCAGTGTTTCTATAAAAAATACTTTGCAAACATTCACTTTTACCCCTGTTTCATTTGTCAGAAAATATAATATGCTTACGTTTCTTGGTAGTTTTCTGTTTTCTTTAACGGTTTTTCTCTAAGGATCTTCTTTGGATGTGTTATTTATTATAAAATACTGTTGCTCTTTCCAAGACATGTTTCTAAAGTGATGGTTTAGATTTTGTCGTGCTTCTTCTGTAAACTGCGTATGAATTTTTTTTACGTCCATCTTTACACCCTAGCTTAAGTTTATAGATTCCATATCTTTCAGTTTTTTAATTTGTTTTTTCTGCGCCGGTGATTCATCATTCTTCTTACGTTTTCTGATAGTCCCCTTTTTTTGTGAAATTTAATGGCGTATCTTCGTCGCTTGAGACTTCAGGTGACTCAGGAACAGATACGTTAATTGACGGTGATTGGGGGATGGTACTTGGGGGATGGTATTTGTAGGATCTGAATCTTCTGAACATTTTGACGGATCTAAACTTGAGGGTAAATAATTTTTATCAGAAACTGAATCATCTGAATCAAAATCCAGGATGCTGTCTGAGCTGTTATGAAGATCCGCATCATTCAAAGAGTTATTTTCGTTCGTAGTAGATAAAGGCAGCTCATAATAATTAGTATTCAGGTTTGACTCCTGGGAAGAACTGGTTGATCGCACCATCGATATTATTTTTGAGCATCGATTATGTAGCATTTTGTCACACTGAAACAAATAAATAAACAAAATACTTAGAAAAAATCACCGGCGCAGAAAAAATAAATGAAAAAACTGAAAGATATTATCTGAAAACAAACTTTCATATCCCACTATATACAAAAAACTCATTAAGGTAATAATAATACAAGGTATAAAATGTATAAACTGCAAACCTCTTCATTGTGATAGTTGGTACTCAACAGTGTAAACAAATTCGAAAAGAAGCGTTTAACTAGATTAAGGTGTTGTTTTCTAACTGATATATTTAATATTGAAATATTTTAACATAAAAGTAGGTATATTTGTTTGTGTCACCTGTTAGGTTTGCAGTTTTTTCAATCTTAAATTACTCATGGGTATGCTTATATATACATAAACTATAATTCCACGAAGTTTGACTTACGATTTTTCCGTAGTTATAGCTCGAAGAGCCACGCGCGCGTGTTGTAACCCTGTCTGCCTGGACGCAACTGAAGTGCAGTATACCAACCGCGAGCCTCACTTCACCCCGCACAACTAGCAATACTAAGTAGGAAAGGCACTACTGCACTTACGCCTGCCCATTTTTTGTAATACTACGCTAAAAAGACACATCTACGCAGAACAGTCTTTTCTTCTTATGACATGCAGAAGTGTCTTTTCATTTTATGATGAATTAAATATTTTGTAAATAAATAAGACGCTTCTACTAAAATACGTTTTTTCAACTTAGTGGACTTCAGAAACGTCTTTTATATTTAGTAATATTTGATTCATATCGCAGATGCGTCTTATTTAACAATAAGATTTACAGCGTTCCGCTTAGCTTAGTTCCGCGGCAGTGTACTCCACGTCATTTTAATTTTGTTAGATGCAGTTTAAATTTTGTGGCTTAAATGTAAAGCCTTAGCTATGGAGCATACCTTTTTTAAATATTTTAGAATAAGTTTTAACATACTCCCTAAATATAATACTATCATTATATGATCTACGTGAATACGTGGTAGAGCCATGCTGCAGTTATACTAGTAGTATACTTGTAGCACGAATGGGTCGGCTCGACCGGGGAGGGTCCACGCTCTCACAGAATACCAGCGTCAAATACAAACTCACATACACACTCACCATACAAAACACAGCATAATATGCTGTGTTTTGTATGGTGAGTGTAGAGAACCGGAGACCCTCTTTACTGGAAAAAAGGCATTCTACCTAAGTTTTTACGGGTGACAACGCAACTGCATTTTGATTCGTAATCCAGGATATATGTTATAGATATCTATGTTCCACAGCAACCACTTACCATCAAGTGGACCTTGTGCTAGTTTGTCACCCTATCCTATAAAAAATCTTTCATTATAATTCGTATAACTTTCGCCTACTTTTATAAATGTTCTACTGTTGCCCATTCATTAAATGATTTGCGAATGTCTACAAACAAAGTTTTAGAAGTAAATATTCTATAAAATTCACAAGTTATAATTTTAAATAATGCACCATACAAAAAATCAGCACCATTTTTAAAAGAAAATGTTGGAAGTTCTTTTAGAATATTACTTCTAAATCTTTCTAATCAGTGTTCATTTATTGGAACAAACACATTTTTCTGTTTTTTGTGTATGTAATGCAATGAGACCCACTGTAAAGCATCCGAAAGAAAATATAAAGTACCCGAAACGTCGTTTTAGTCCCCCCGTGACCATGGTTGCTGTAAAGCACCCGAAACGTCGGGAATTAAAAATAAGTAAAATCAGTTAAATAAACGCGATAGAATACGTAAATTTAGTTTTATTCATTGTGTAGTATTCGCGTAAATTTAAAAAATCATTATCAGTAAACTTGTAATCTATACAAGTCGCACTAGACCCAGCAATACGAGTCGGTTCTAAGAATAAATTAACAAGATTATAGGATTTAAACAATGAGGTAAACTTAATACTAATGGAAGAAGATTCGTGTGCTCTTATCACTCGATGGATTTACTCACTCACAAAATCTGTGTTATCGGCGATATAATAAAAATGTATCGTCAAGTAAGGATGACTAACAAACACACAAATTTACAACGCATTGTTTGGCGCGATGATATCTCTGGAAATACAGAAAGTTATAAATTACTAACCGTAACTTTTGGAACCGCTTAAGCACCATACCTTGCTGTACGGTGTATACACCAGCTGGCTGATGATGAATTTGTTCTACATGAATGATTTTATGACTGGACATGAAGATGTATCAGAAATCAAAGAAATTTGCGACTAAGATAAAATCTGTTAAAGAAAGGCGGCTTTAAAATGCAGAAGTGGCAACTCTTATGAGTTGCTGAGGTTTCTGCAAGATGACAAAGACAATCCGGAAAATGTAAACAGTTTAGAAATAAAATTAGATAAAATGATAAAAATACTTGGTCTTACATGGGACAGAAAAAGGAATACGTTCAAGGTTATAGTCAACATACCGGAAACCAGGTAACCTGTAACAAAAAGGTTAATATTATCAGACATGGCGTCCTCAGATCAGGTGTTCACTTGGCTGGCTCTCTCCAATGGTTATCACAGCTAAAATTATGACACAGAGACTGTGGTTAGGTAATCTTGGTTGGGGTGATGAACTACCTTCTGAGCTAGTAGAAAAATGGCTTAGTTACAGAGAAGCACTTCAAAAACTGCCGGGCATTGAAGTCCCGCATTGAATTTAAACGACGTCACGCTGTAAACAAGTGCAATTGCATGGATTCGCAGATGCCTCTTCTTTTGCGTATGCGGCAGTGAATTATATCAAGGTTTTGGATGAAAATGACAGGATTCACGTCACAATGGTGGTATCTAAAAGTAGGGTAGCATCATTGAAACAATTGACGATTCCGAAATTAGAACTTTACGCTGCGGTGTTATTGGCTAAGCTATTGCACGAGTTATCTGATCTATGTTATATATCTATGGATCAAATATATGCCTAGACTGATTCAATGGTGATTCTGTCTTGAATGCAGTCTCAACCAACTCGATGGCAAGTTTTTGTTGGCAATAGGTCTCGAACATAAATCAGTTGTTAGACAATGACAGGTTGTATCATGGTCAATCAACCGAAAACCCCGCTGACCTCGCATCAAAAGGGGTAGCGCCAATTGAAATGGTAAACAATGACATGTGGTGTGCTGGACCGGAGTGGTTAAAAAGGAATGTATTTAATAAAGGATTATATTCCTCAAACATACTTAGAGATGAAAAGATCTTTTAATGTAATTGTACGAGTATATAATGTAACGTAAAATTGTTAAGTCACCATTTCACAACTTGACTTCTTTTAAATATTTCCGCGGCACATTTATTTTAAAATCAGTTCGCCTATAGCCATCAAAAGAGCTTCGCGTACTCATTATCAGTAGTTCTAGCCATTTAATTTGTATACATATCCACAATATATTATATCAAACTTATCAAGCGTTATCATTTTATCATCCCCTTAGTGTCGGTACTACCCCGAACAGTAGTATCAAAGGAGAAACCAGTTTGGAAACGATTTTTATCTACGTTACTAATGTAAAGAGTTCTTGCATGGTGTTTACGATTTCTTCATAATAAAGATAAAAAGGAAACGTATTTAACTAAGAAAGAAATTTGAAGTTGAAGAAAAATGTATAAAATACTACCAGTACTTAGTATACGAAGATGATATTGAAGATCTTAATAAAAATTAAAATAAATCTAAATCTGTCAATTGAGGCGTTTCAATGGAGACGATGTGTAGGGATGATTTATAAGCCCCTCCTAAACTAGCCTACTTTTCTGTCGTTTCTAACTAACCTATAATTTACTATTTTGGGATCTCTAATATTCGGCTTGACATAGATACCTTGCATGAACCAAATGTCTACCTGATGATCGGTTAAAAATATATGGACTTCATCTAATTGGTACTTAAAGCCGTGTGCATTATAGAAAGGGACAGCTGTCGGCCTAGGTATTATTCTGGCTGTTGGTGTGTTATCCATTTAGAAAGAATAAAGGAGCCAAATTCACGGATGAAGCACTTCAGAACTAGTTAGCTCTAAAGTTCTTAATTGCTGAGATCACCTACATGTGATCCAAGGAGGTCTGGAGGCGCTCCTTTGCTGAGTGCGCCGTTCTAATTTTGTGCGTGAGGGTGCGCAACTTATTTAAATTCAAACTATCAACGAAGTCTCAGACAAGACTGAAGTCGGCACAGAGCTCCTCCAGGACTAGGAAGGAGGTCAGCTTAGGTGCTGGCTTGGGAGAAAGTTCCCTCTGCAAAGCACTACCGGCCATCTGAGCCGGCGCGCGCGCGGGCGCCGGAGTTTGGAGGGAGGACGACTCTTTGAATGCGATACTCATCATACTAAGCAGCTTCGCGCAAGCGTTTGACTTCTCAAACTCAGAAATATCACGATTCTTTTTAAAATTAGCAATAGTACTTCATCCATCGTTTTCTTTTCAAATGTCGAAGAACATATCATTTTGTCTGCTCTATGAATCAATATGAATATATTGAAATAGGAAGAAAATAAATATGAAAAATATCAAAACCGGAACACATAACTTAGCATGTAATGGTTATTTCTGAAAAATTATCTAATAAAAGGCACAGGGACAGAAAATGATAGTACAAATGAACATTTCGTCGTGTTAAGCATTTTAATGATAAAATAAAATGAAATAAAAAAAATAATACTAAAATCCATTATTTAAAACCTTAAAAAAAGATTACAAACAATTCCACAGCTAATTAGACAAATCACTTAACTTAAAAATGCAAAGCTGGTATTACCATATCATTATTTTACCTTTTATTTTCTTAACACAGTTTTATATTTTATTACGAAATATATATTGCGGGATAATTATGTGTGAGATATGAATAATACAACGTTAAAAAGGGTCACAGTTCTACGGTACGCTTCTCATTTGGCACATTCCCATTGCCTGTGCCTTTACAAGAAAGTGTCTGACATAATATCGTGCCTTGCATTTTGCCGTACAATGTATTCCAATATAAAATGGCTCAATATATTTTTGTTAACTCTTAAGAATAATGAGTATCTGAGCGACAATTAACGAAAATTTTCGCCACTAACTTAGATTAGCTGTCTTTATTGTCACCTCGGCCATAAAAGGAAAAATTTTGAGTGGTAGAGCCATTCTGCTGCTAAAATATAGTCTGTGTAGATTGAGTTGATTTTTTTCTACCTTCATGACATGTCAAAGGAGAAAAGAATCAATGGTTTCGTTGCATCTTATGCTAATAGGCTATATAAATTATTAAAACAGAAAATACAAATTAAAAGATTTTAGGAGTATTCGAAAAAAGTGCGATAAAATTTACAAGCGTCTATTTTTAATATAAAAATACATATTGCGCATTACGTACCTATAATTAATTTAACGAATTTAAATGACAACGCCAGATTTAAGAGTCGCTCAGGTCTCTAGAGCATACCTTAAATTGAGAATTTAAAATCATGTGACCCACTTTGGGAGTATCGAAGTCTTTTGTTTAGCGAGATATTGTGAACATTATACAAAG